ATATATATATATATATATATATATATATATATATATATATATATAGTGTGTGTGTGTGTATGTATACGTGCGTGCGTGTGTATGTATTAGAGAGAGAGGGCGAGAGTGTGTGTTGAGAGGGTGAGTGAGAGGGAGGGAGAATGAGTAGTCAAGGATACGCAACGCGTAAACAACGGACGTTTCTGTATATGTATGGTGTCCCCTTCACCAACTCTCTCTCACACTGAGTCTTGCATTATAACATATACACATATACATGTACACACATACACACTCGATCAAGGCCCCCTCTGTCTGTTGTTCTGTTTATATATACTATATGTATGTATATTATCTAATGAAATTTGGTTTTAGGTAGTTTTACAGAAGGCTTATATATTCTGTGTATGGTGTATTTTGTAAATTATTCAATATTTATGTATTGATGAGGATTATTAGTCTATGCATTATATATTAATTTATGCATCCTCTTGCTCATATCCAAATGTATGTATATATATATATTTTAATATATAGTTGTTAGTCTGTAAAACTATCCATTAATTAAAAAATATATGATACGTGTCTATAGATGATAACTAATACATTTAAGAGTTAAGAGTACTGTATCGATCGGCGATTAAGTTTTAAGTAAATTAAATAATTTGCGGAGACATTTTTGCTGTATATTCAAACGTATTTGTATTTACTAACTACAGTCGGGAAACAGTACTATAGAGTACACCATGCATGATGTATAAATAAACTTCGTTTGGAATATAGGTGTGTGTGTGTGTGAGTCGGTGTAACGTGTGGCGTGCGCATGACATGTGTGTGTGTGGCGCGTGAGAAGAGGGTCGTATATTTGCCGTCGCAATTCCCTGTACACGACCAATACCCGAACAAAGACTTATCGATCGATATTCGTCTAGTGTGTGTGTGTCGGTGTATAATATAATATATTGCGTGCACGTAAAGAGTGCATGGCACGTTCGTACGGAAGTACAGACGAAATGTATTATTATTGTAATGTTCACGTCACGGCTCACCGCTAGGCCAGCTCGGGTAGCTGCCAAAACAGTGGGAGGGGTGAAAAACGCCCCGGATTGACCCACCGACGCCAACTTAATAAAACTTGGTGGGTGCCACGTAATGGTGTGCTGGCCACATAGAAACTGTGCTCCTCCAGGTCGAGGTTGCCTCCAGATGCGTGCACGAGGATTTCGGGGTTCGGTGCCGGTAGCCGCGACGACGACGACCCGGACCCGACATCCCGCGGGTCCGTGCGACTGCGTCCCGACTGGACGACCGAGGCAACCGAACGCCAACGTGACCGCACGTTCGGCGTTGACCGTGTTCGGATGTGAGAATATTGGCATACTGTCCAAAATTCATTCCGAATTCGTCGTTAGTCCGCGTTTGGAAGTCTGTTTAAGCTGCGATTCATCTTACATAGTTGTCCGTACCAAATGTCCGACGAACACTAAAAATATGTCTACAGATCGCGCGTCCAAGAGCGTATAACAAATTCCTTTGATGTACCGCTCCTCGATCGACGGCGACCTAATGCACGTTTGCCGTTCGCATTCGGTCCACACTAAGTCCAACGTCACCGAATAAAGTCCTTTCACATGTGCCTTCGCTACCCAGTGACATAGCAAGGTTATGACGAACTGTGCCTACGCTAGGGGCGCGACTTGTAAAGGGGCGCAAAATTGTGCAAAAGTCGTATTTTTATCCTACAATCAAATCGAAATTTTTCCGTTATACTTTTTGAAATATGTAAATACTGTCTATTTTCACACACTACGTGTGAAATTAACGATGAAATTATGAAAATAGTGCAAGGGCGTTTAAATAAAAAAATGTCATGTGAAGGAATAAAGTCATAAATTCATAAAGCGAGAAAAGCAAATTTTCAAAGATTAAAATTAACATTGTATTAATAACTTCTAAATATAAATTGTATACTTAAAAAAAAATAGTAAAATTAAAGGTTAAAAAAAAAAACCCAACATCAAATTTTAATTGTTTGAAAAGCGCTTTTTTCTAAGTTTGCCAGAGGCGCTAGCTAGTCTTTCTACGCCATTGTCGCTACCCTCGGTCGTCTAGTCCGGACGCGGCTTCAGCTGAACGCGACAACAGACGTACGGGATTGGGGTGCTAGTGATCGACGAGTATAACTTTTGTTGCTCATAGAGACGTTCAAGTGTAACATTATGGTGTCACTGACACGATCAATGCGTTCAAACGCTGTTTCTGTCGTTTCCTGCACGAACACAATACAGATTTTTCATCCGTATGCATTATACCCAATTGAATGAAAGTAAACGGTTCGGCGATCTACGACGAGTGTCGGCGAACACTACGATATCGTACGCGGGTTGTGCATCATGCGTATATCGTTTGGACGTACAGCTATATACAAGAATTTACATATATATGTTGTATACGTTTACCAAATTTTTTTAAGCGCGCGTATGAATTTAGCCGAATTTGCTAAACATTCAGATTATCGTTGGTTATAATATAAATTAAGTTATTTAAAATGTGTTTTTCTTTAAATATGTTTTCCGGGATGAGATAATACGCCTATATTATAACGAGTTTTGATAAGGTCTTTAAATATTTTAAATATTATAAAACTAATAAGAATTAAACGTGCTTTCGACGATTATATTTTATATATTATTATACGGCAAGGTAAAATTATAATCAACATGTTTATAATGCCAATTATCAACAAAACAGTAAAATTATCATTTTTTTTTTTTTTTTATATAAATTACATCACTCAAACAGAATAAAAATTTAGCTATTTATAATATACAGTATACTATAGTAGATACACACAATTACGAGTTACCTACTAATTAGGTTTCTATTACGGCTGGGGCTAAAAAAAGTGGTTTTCCCAAAAGCTAATTTTACTAGTAAAATTTACAGGATAATTTAAAAGTATTAAAATAACTCAATTAAATAATAAGCTACTATTCAAATGTACAAAGAAATTACGGGTATAGATCACAAATATTGAAATAAAATATCGTACGTATACGTATATGCGAAGCGTACGCATATACTTACCTAAATGTACATGGTTCATTAGATTTTATAAAAGTGACCTATTTAGAAACTAAGTTTCTATTATTACAGTGTTAAACTCCCAAAATTTTAATTGTTATGATTTATATAGTTTCAATTTTAATTTAATGATCAATTATTATTATTTTACAATGTAGAATATTAAAAATCATCATAGTATATGTATGAGACACGCGTTTGTAGTGGTTATATAATATATTATAATATTTCACATAATTTATTGTCATATTTCAAATAATACATTTTTTATGTAAAGTTCATACATTGAATAAAGTTATCCGGTTTACGAGTTACACTTAAAATAAGCGATCATGGATCGTTTATATTATAATGATAAATGCGAATACCAATTGATTGGAACTTAATATTTAGAATTAATAAAATTGTCGTTGTAAAAGTTCAAATAAAAAAAAGGTAGGTATATCTGTTTATTGGGGCGCAAAACTATATACTATTATTAACTGAACTGCCATATTAATTTTGGCATAATACATTTGAATGCGACGACTACAATTATTCGGATACTTCTAAATAATATAGAAAAATGTAAAAGTATAACGGAATATAATAAAGAAATAAGTATTTTCAAAATCTACTATCTATTGTAAATTTAAATTTGCCTCCTCTGTTTTTTGAAAACTTGGGAACTTTCTGATTATGGAATTCTTCACGCTAAAACGTTAAAGCACACTTTGATTACCTAAAAAATGGTGAAAAACATTATTTCAGAAATAAAAAATAGTTATTAATATGCAAACGAATTATTATTTAATACGTTTTATTTGTTGCCAATTAAACATGAGGGTGGACTTTCATGGTACTCGATATTCAAGATAAAAGTATAGATATGAACTATATAGGCAAACTTGCTTGTTTTATAAAATAAAGAAACTTAAGTACAGCCAAAACGTCTACGTTAAGAAATAATTGTGGACCTTTTAAAGTTAAAGCAATGAACAATTTTTGATGAAAGAATATATTGAAACAGATCCACGCGAATTTCAACAAAATCTTTATTGAACTACGAAGAAAAATGTATAGCGAACCGGAAGAATCTGTTGTAATATGCATTTTCGTACGAAGGGCAATGTATAATCGTGTTGTTTGTCGTCTATTAATTGTGCCAGTCTATTTCCAAACCAGATCTTATAACGTGTTTATGTGTATACATTTAATATTCGAGCCATTAATCTGCTGTCTTAAATATTACAAGTTATATCATCAATTATCTAGAAGTGTTCATAAATGACACGTATAGGTAGTACTTCTATTTAATCGCAGAACGAGCATATACGGAATGCTGTCCATTCGAATCGGAAGATCGTTGAGAACTGGTAACAGACGGAGTACTCGTATATTTTAAGGGCTACGGGGATAAACGATTATAGACAATATTTCTAAATGGTTTAGTATTGCAGTTTTAAGTTTCAGAATTTAAAAATTAAGAGTTATATCTTGTTTTACAAAATACGAAATAATACCGAAAAACGTATTGAGGTAATACAAGTTAAATTTTAATTAATTTACTTTTTAAAACAAATAATAAGATTACATAGTAATTAGAGTTTTCCTTTTTTTGAATATTAAAGTTTTTTCCCGTATCCTTTCATTTAATACCTACAACTATATTCAAGAAAAATTTTTCATACGTTTGTATAAAGTATTTTACTTTCATAAAATACACGTATATGCGATAAAAATAAGAATGTTTTCGAGCCTAATATTTTACGGTATAGTTTATGTATGTCATTATTTTTTAAGTCCACTGTAAATACCTAAATTAAAACTAACTATATTATTTATTATTATATGCTTGTACAGATTATCTACGTTAAAAACTAATAACGATTACCGGTTTTTTTTTCTACGCGTTCTCATATTATACGTGTACATATAATATTCAGTATACGTGTAAACAATATATTATGTTGTGCGAAAAAAATGTTCATCGTCAGCACATGTGGATTAGCTGCGTAGTAGAGCGTGAACGGTGTTTTCTTCTATATAAAATTACTTGAAACCAGACGAACGACCTACTTGGTGATTTACTGTCGACGTTTGAAGAAAAAAAAACAAATAGGAAAACTAACGTAGAGTAGTACAATAAGAATCCTCATTCTTCGGTGAAATCTACCGGCACTCAATGGACGTAAGGATATAGTAAAATATTATTATTGTTTAGGCTGACAAATATTTCCGGAAACTCGTAATCATATCACTGATAATAATTGATAACGTCAAGTATCGCATATATCATGATATGGAAGATGTTCGTGCTCGGTTATCAAAACAACGGCGAAACCAGTTTAGTACTTAAATCATTGCATCAGATCGAAACCGCAACAAACTTCATAATGACTTCGTTCAGCATTATCCTTATAGCTGTTGCAGTGCTTACCACACAGGTACGTCAAAAATTATATTATTTCATTTAATCGTTCTATAGAAACTACCTAATAAAAATAATATGGTCTTGTAGCAATTTCAATCGACTCTCATATACTATAGATTTCGAAATAACGATTCTCTAAATGATATTTTCGATTAACAAAAACATTTTCAGAAATGTATATTATATTCAGGGGCGCAATTTCATTGAAAAAACTGAAGGTGCTTAAGTCCTTCTATCTTTTTCAAGTTTCTTAATGGTTATAAACACCCGTAATCCATACAATTCAACAGTTACTAAAATATTTGGTAAATATATGAATATTTCTAAATTTAAATTGTTCACTTTGATTTTATATTTTTATTGCGCGTATAACGAATTACCTGTCTGTAAACATAAATATTTCATCATATATATGATCACTTTTAGGTTCTGATTGAAGCGAAGGATATAATGGTTTTATAATGATGTTTGTATCTTATTTTTGTTTTAACACTTTTTCGGATAGAAATATTGGTCCCAAAGTTTTTTCTAGGACCTTTTTTAGATTTTAAATCGGCATGCGGTGGTACTTTAAATAGTTCATTTTTCTAAATCTTAAGAGTTTTTCTAGACGCGAAAAAAAACTATATATAAAAAAAATTATATATTTATACAATAAAAACTCTGTTTTTCTATATATAATGAGTAATGAGCATTTAAATGTAAATTAAGATAAAAACATTTGGGGGTGCTAATTTCGAAAATGGGGGTGCTAAGCACACCCAAGCTCCCCCCCCCCCAAATTGCGCCTATGATTATATTACTCTTACATGAACACTAATGAGCAAAAAAAATTATTATTTGTTTAAATTCAATTACTTTTAATGCATATTAAAGTAATCTAAGTATGTTTATAAAAAAAAAAATTCTTTATAAATTATGTAATGGTCAATCTATTAGCAAAACGTAATATAAGTCTCATGTTATATGCGGACGATTTTATCACATAAATTTAATACATTTTTTCATAAGCTTAAACAAGATACCTATCTTGAATAAATATTACAATTTTAAGATTTCAATATAAATAGGAAAACATAAATTACTTGTTTTTCCGTCTAACTTGTTAATATATTGTATATTATTATAGTTTAATATTTCTTATTAACCAAACTTAATCATTTTATGAACATATCTTATTATTCTACGAATTATATTAATTATTAACTAATTAAGATGGAATATCGAAGAATGAAGCTGTACTACAGTTATTTCACTTAAGTTGACTCAAAATACGAGTATTTCTAAAATTGTGTAAAATTTTAAAAACCGCATCAATATTGTACACGTCAATTATATATTTTATTTTATCGATATGGCTGTGTACCATTGTAGGTGGATACTAATGTGCCTGTAGCCATCCCGCTATTTTTTAAACTACATTTTTCATCTATCTACTTTTATTTTTTTAAATTAATCATTCTTCTGAAATATGTTTATTTAAAATAAAAAATTATAATAAGTGGTTCTTATTATAACGATACTTCATACAATTTGAGTAGATGTTCCTTCTATTGAAATTATTAGTATGTAATGTTATGTCTTAAACTATAATATGTATGTGTGTGTATATAATTAATATATTTATTTATCCGTACAAAATATAAATTTATAAAAGAAAATAATAAAATCATGTAGCGCATTAAAAAATTTATTGTGTTCCGCGATCTATTTAGAGACAATTTAACTATTGTCTGATGCGTATAATTTTTAGTTTGTTATCATTTAAATTTTATAGAAATCAGTTGAACGCATTGATGTTACGATGTATAGTAATATGTTATAATATTAAAAAAATGTGCACCTACAGATAATAAATTATTATTTCATTGTTTATTGTATTAATTATAGGTTATGCATACTATTTCTCTTCCGAAAAATTATCGTTGTGTCTCTTCGATAAAACCGTTGCCTGAATTGAATCCAGAATCGCAGAAATTAGAACCTAAACCTACATCATCCCGTTGCAAGCTGCAGTTAAATATGTCTTCAAAATCAACGTCTTCAGTTCAAAATTCGACATCACCAATTGAAACACTATCACCACAGCTCTCTACTTCAAACTCATCGTCTTCTACGACAAAACTACAACCAATCAATAAATCACCTTCTTCGGTCTCAAAGTTACACGATACCCTTAAGTTATTTAAATTACCTTTACAATTCATCTCGACCCTATTGACCATATTAACGCCATTTGACGGGCAAAATACTTCTTCAACTATTAATCCATTAATTAATCTTCAAATGCCCTTATCGCTCTCAACAATTCATCCTCATGATTCACTGTTCGATAGCACGAATAACTTACCTATTTCATATGGTCCTTTACCTGATACAAATACAAATAACATACAAACTTCTTACGATCCTATACCGGCCAGCACAAGTAACTTGCCTACCCCTTGTAATTCTCAATCAGGAACTATAAACAATTTGCCTATTCCATGCAGCTCTTTAACGGACAAAAATAATTTGCCTATTATTTTTCCTAACAGTTTACCCGCAGGAAACTCATATAATGCCCTTATTTACAATTTGTTGTGCAATATCGTATTGGAGGAGATCCGTCGTTTGACCGTCATTACCCCACCAGTTAGTGTTCCAGAATCTGCATCTGGCGATACATTGACTGGTAGTACAATATTAGATGAGACCCTCCTTAGTGGCAATACACCTACCGATATTACAAACGATTTACTAACATCTTCATCAAATGAACCCTGTATTTTCAAACCAACTGTTAAGCCGTCCAAGCCTTGTTCAATGCATACATTAAAATCAACGCACATCAAACCACATTCACCACCCTCTTTCAGTACACCAGTAAACCCACATTCTCATTCAAAATTATATCCATCAAACAATGAATATTTTGAAAATTTCAAACATTTTAAATCTGATAGAGTTTCTCTTAATCCACAAGAAGAACTTATTTTAAAAATTCTAAAGAGTCTGAATCCCGATTTTAATACATCGCCGCCATTTAAAAGTAAAAAATAATTTAGTTATGTATAAAATGATTACATGTATGGGATAACATTTTATAACATATAAAGACACCAAATTTTCAAATTGTTGTAATAAATTATAATTGTTTCTAACCAAATTATAAATTGTATTATTTAATTGTACTATTGAAAATAAAATGACATAAAATATTAATTATTTATGTATGTATTAACCATTATATAAGTATTAGTAGTTTTGTTTTCAGATGTTGTTTTTGTTGGATCGATATAAATTATTTAAAAATACTAAACTTTTATAATAAAATAGATAAATTCTTATCTCCACGTAATATATTCTGGAGATAATTTATTACAAACTGATATTATTTAATTCTGTACTAATGGACTCAAATCAAATCAGATTCTTTTATAGTTTTTACATAATTTTTTAAAAGTATTGTAACCGGAATCGATTTAAAATTTATCAACTGGCAATCAATAAAGTATTATTGACTGATTCGTTATTTTTCTAATTACCAAAAAACTATTAAATTTAATCTAAGTTTACGTTAATGGTTATTTTGATGGTTTTCCCAAAAATATTCAGCTTTTTTCCAACTGTTTGAATTCAAAGGTATCTAAATTATTTTTAAAATCCACTAAACTGAAAATTGGAAGTTTGAAAGACATCAATGGCAAGGAAATGTAATTACTTTGAAAATCGTCATCATCCCGTGAACCTTTTTGGTATTTTTTATAGTTCCGAAGGTGTCGATACAGTCGAGCAAAAAAAGTACTTATTTGAAAATATTTTTGTTTAATTTGTTGCTCATTTTATTAAATAGCAATAAAATAAAAAAAAATAAAAACTGTTCCACATACGGTGTCATCACTACACTTTACTGACTGGCCACTGCAATATTACATTGGTTTTTCCACACGGTTAGTAATACCTATAGGTAAAAATATATAGAATCATTTTATGAAAAACATTGTTAAAATCCAAAAATGCATTAATACATTAGGAGATAAGAGCTATATTTTAACGTGTGATGAGTTACCGATCATTTTTAAAGAGGGAACAGTTTTTTATTATATTTAATAACAATTATAGTCAATGATTATTAACATGGGTTCAGTTTTTATTTATAATTTTTACAATTATTTTATTTTTTTTTTATTGAAACTTTGCATTAAATATTAGTTTGGACAATTAAATTATTTCATTTTATTTCTGCATAATTTATTTGATTTTAATAATACTGTACTAATATTCAGCGGAAATGTTGGCGTTGGGGGTTAAACATTTCTAAACTCCTACTGGTGCCATCAAACGTAATTGTCACGTTACATCTGGTAGGTAGTCTTTATCGAGTGGTTTTGAGTAAAATACCACTATCGCCATCACCATAATCATGAACCAGAGTTTGTATTCCTAAAATGATGTTATTTGGCCTGTTCGCCTGTTGCTTCCGAAAATCAGTTTAATTTTAGGCGATAATCAAGCGTATTTAATTATTATCATACATAACACAATTGTGTGATTCGAATATTGCACGCGTTTTGGTATCTAAATACTATTTTGTTTCCATACATTTTTCCGATCAATAATTGTTTTTTGTGAGTGATTTTCTTACGACACGTCCGAGTTGTGTCCACGCAGGGTTGTTAACAACTGGTTCGAATTACATGCGTGGTTTTTTAACGACAGGCCTGAACTTACGTTTCCGATAATCATTGAAATTTACTTATTTTCCATTTCACTTTTACAGACTGAGGACTCTCATTTATATAAAATATCATCGTGTAATATCACCCTGAAATAAACTTGAATATGATTCAGTTTGGATACGTTTTTATAATTTAAGGGGGGGGGGGGACTTATACAATATAATACTAAATACCAAATTGTTAAAAAGCAATATTATTAGTATATGATATATAAAAGGTCTTTAGGCTTCAATATCATATAATTAAAATACTTTTATAAAATCGCGGCAAAATGGCTGGCTGTAGCCACATCATATTAATATCCTTGCCATGTTATAGAAACGTGTTTCCAAGACGTTGAGATATTATTATATTTCATGTTAATAGGATGTTGATATTGAAATATAAAATAACATTACAATATTAACAGTGATAACAGATACACGATGTTCTGCAAACGTTTATGGGCGTTGTTAGCGTTGCAACTTAAATCGTACAGCACTACTATGTTTTGAAACATAGATTGCACAGTGGAAAGCTATATAATTCTCCGTTTTTAGCTAAATAAGGTCATAAATCGAATTTATTATTATACTACGTGGAGAGAGACATCTCACGACATCAACAGTTAATCATAAATAATATTACTTCAGGGATATGGCATAAGACTCGACTATATATATACGAGTATATTTCTTATGATATCGCCAAAAAAATTGAAATACAATTGTGGAAACACCATTCACGCAAGTCAGACGTGTTGCGAGAAAATTAGACTACGGTAATAGTCATTATAGTGACGGTTTTTTTTTCTAAGATAATACACATTTCTCATTTGTTCGGTATTGCTATTTGTTTATTATACTGCAACTCAATGTACTTGAATATTATGGATATATTTACAGTTACGAACAAACTATATAATACTTACATATATTACTATCAAAATAGCCTATTTTATATCATTTACCATTCACTTAGAAATATAAATAACAATATTAACTTTATAAAATAGTGGCAGAGTTTGTACTAACGGGTGGTTCTAGATTAAAATCGGCATGTAATTATTAGTTTATAATTGATTGGTATATATATATATATATATATATATATATATATATGTGTGTGTGTGTGTGTGTGTGTGTGTGTGTGTGTTTAGGAAGTTTCAGTGTTCAAAATAACGATAAATTATTTAATTTTTTCAACTTAAATGCTAGTGAGCCAGTTTATCAAAAGCAACAAAAAAAAAAAAAAGTTTCAAAAAATTATTAATTATTGGTATTGATTTTGTATGATTCATACAATTTTTTTTTTTTAATTTGGTGACTAAATGTTTCATCTGTACCCAATCGGAAATTCATAACGGGCGCAATATCGCACTAGTAATGCCTACTACTGACGCGCTACTGATAGCTAGTGTTGGCAGCCAGTGCTGTCATATAACTGCAATGATATACTTTACCAGTACACCTTCGCATTCCAAGACAACCAAAGTGCTGACATTCAATATCGGCTGAGTACAGATAATAATGAAATTTAGTAATGTAAATTTATAATACAGCCAATTACTGATGGGGAAGTACTAACCAGGCCCATAGCCACGGTAGGGCATTGCCTTCTCCCTAAAACTTAGTTTTCACCACCATGTGGTCTGGTTACAAAGATGGTACCAACACGTATGTTGTAATCTCGTATGTTCATACTTGTATTAACTCATAGGAATGAGATCTTAACGGTTTAGAGTATACTCATGTAATTTCTGTTAAAGTACAGATTATATAATGCCATATAGTTGGCCAAGAAAATCCGACCAAAATAACGAAACAATAAGTTCTTATAAGAACTTTGTAAATGCCTAATTGTTAATAATATATTATCATTAGTATTATAATTTGTAATTAATGAATGAAGTCTTTTATCTAAGTCCTTGTTCTTTTTTTTATCTCTGGTTGTTTTCCAGCACTATACCGTTCTCATTTTAATTCTTTTAAATTTCGAATTTTATTTATTACATAAATAAATGTACATATAGTTGGGTGGGTTCTTGCTCAAGAATTATTATATTATTCATTTATTATATTATTAAAAAATACTAATTGTTAATAAATTTGGTTATAGTTTTACAGTTTTATAAGTTTTGAAACTTATCCAAGTACTAAAATATATAGTATTTAAAAAAGAAATTATAAAAACTGCAGTTTCGCTATTATGCGTGATCGCTTATTTTAGAATTCGCTATTTTTATTTTCGCTATTATCAATTCATGATTTTTTTATTCGCGGTTAATTGTTTCGCTATTTTGGCCTAGAACCCTGGCCAAGTACTTAAAAATGTGAATAGGAGACAAGGAGACGTTAGTTCTCACTATTCCGATTGATACTATATTATTACCATGGCTATAACCACTATTATGGTTATTATGCTCATATGTAAGTCTTACTTTCAGTGCTGGATTAATCATTTGTGATCTCCTATGTAATTAAAATTTTGGACCCTACAAAATTTTTTTTTTTACATACATCTTTAACATTACTATGCATTAATTAAAATAAACAGTTTTAATAATAACCAACTACTCGTATTATTAATAAATAAAATCATGTTTATTAATTTTTTTTTGCAAGAAAAATTAATAAATTATTATATTATTTCTATGTTTTTCGAAATAATATTATTATTATTACTGCATATAACACCTACAACTTAATATATATTATATTTCATAATGAAATATGTCCCGCAAATTCGTAAATAAAATACAGGTATAATTAAATAAAAAAAAATATAGTTTTCCGTTTTCACATGGCCCCTTAAATGAGTGAAGCCCTAAGATAGGCGCCTACTCCACTTACTAGGTAATCTGGCACTACTTACATTTCTCATTGGGTAAGAGAATTATTTAATTCCATTGTAGAAAACTTAAATAAATACATTCAACCGTTCCAAGCATTTAGATAATATGTCTTGGCTAATTCTTGTAAAAGTGTATTTATTTATCATTAACAATATGGTATGTTTTCCTATGCATCACATCGGTAATTTTTTCTAGTCAAAAATAAATCTGTTATAGTTCTATAATAAATAGGGTGAAGTAGCGAAACGTCTCTAATTCCAATTTCAACTGCCATGTACAGGATTATTAAATTAATTATCCGAGAACGCGTAAGTTAAACGTCTAGAAATTGTCGGTCGACGATGCAATGCGCCTTCGAGGGTTGTAGGGTTGTTACACTCACAGATTTTAATATGTACCTTTAATACGGAAAAATCTGAAAAATTGTAATTAGGTTTCTAGCGAAACACGAAATAACGTTTCTTAATACTAGTTGATTATTTAATATTTTTATTTTTTTTTTGCGCCCCCCCCCCCCCCACCCCCTGGCGCCAAGGCAAGTGCTTCGTTCGCCTCACCCTAGTTACAGCTCTGGCGGCGGCGTTCCGGCGACTTTGACGCGGAGTACGGGCCACGATCGCGTCGTCTAGCGGAGGGAAAAAAGGAAACGAACAATCGATACTGCAGACGGCACATGCATCACGTCCGCGGTTAACGTGGCGGCGGCTGCGGGTAATTTTACCGAAATCCCAACGGCCGTTTCTCTGCTCGCCGCACGGTCGAACAATCGTCCGCGCACGACCGTGACGTCACCGAACCAATGCCGGTCGGGAGACGGGGCGGGGCGCCGGTCCGCCGGTCCAATCGCGACGTCGCGACCCCTTTACCCCCACCCGGACCGCAACACCCGGGACCCGTTTCCCGGCCACCGCTGCCGCATCGGTCTGGTTCCGCGTCAGTCTCTAGCCCGGCGCTGTGCGAATACGTTCGTTTCACCTTTCTCCGCGCCAGTGTTCCACTCGATCGTGTCGCGGTTATCGCATCGCTTATCGTTTTCGTGCGCTCGCGCTCTTAATCCGTTCTCGTGTGACCGTGTCGTCATCAGCAGTGCACCGCTAACGATTCGTTACCTCGTTGAACACCGCGGCAGTGCGTGTGTTTTTTCACGTTCGTTGTGATTCCATCCCTTCCCGGTGAAACGTATTGTGCGTGGTGTGCGTCGATACCGGGGATTATTGCTATTATGCTCGTCGTCGTCGGCACCGGCTTCCATGGTGGTAAGTAACCGTTGTACTGGTAAACGTGTAACGGTAAGCGCGTAGAACACGAGGAGACGCGGCCGTCGCGAGAAAAAACGAACGGCGCACGAAGGGAAAAAAATGAGAAAAAAAAACCTACCGTACGCATTTATAGAACGCACGAATGAATGGCGTGCGCGCGTTACCACAGCGGTGAAAACTCGTGCGTGCAGCGGACACGGCAACGTCGCACACGCCGGGCGGTTCCCCTCCGCATTATGTTTATTGTCCGTGCGTGCGCGCACGCGCGTGCGCATTGTCGGCGTGCGTGCGTGCGTGTTTGCAACGCATGTGAAACCCCGACGTGTACGTGTGTGTAACATTACGCTGCCACCACCTCCCGCCCAGCCATCATGTGCCACTCCACTCGCTCGCCACCGTCCGTTCTCCCGTACGCGTTCACCGCCGCCCGTCACTGTTACCCATAGGTTTCCTTCCACCCTTCGCTCGCCTCGCACCCCGACCGCTGTGCGTACCCATTCAACGACGGCCGATTTATAACTCCCTATTCTTTTCCACCCTATTCTACTCTATTCTTTCTATGTCTCCCTTCTCCTTTCCCTTGCTCGCCCTTTCTCTTTTCTATTTCCCTTCTCTTCCGCGCGCGTCGACCTTGCGTTCGTGCGAGCGTGCGGCACCGGTCGACTTTTTGTCGGTAGTTCCAATTTTTTTCGTATTTTTTTTCCCTCGCATTTTCTCTTGCATCCAATTTATAATACTATTTTTTTTTTGTGCATGTTAATCGAACGGTTTTTCTATCCCGCTCCCGACGCTTTGGACCGGTTGTTTACTTGTGAACCGTAACAACGACGATTAATATTGTACATAATATATAACTAACCTTGATATGCACTCGTTTTTCCCGTTTTTCTTTTTCGTGCCGATGACACTGTGTGCATATATATATTTATATGTGTAGGGAGCCGACGGCGAAAATGGCTGGGGGAGTTGTTGAAAACGTATTCATTCTTGTTTCGGTACCGTCTCTCTCCCTCTTTCTTCCTCACCAGTACCTCGCTCTTGTTCACATTTTATCTCTTGTCCGTTTTTTCTGTCTCTCTCATCCTCTCTCACCCACGTAGTTTGTAATTCTTTTACCCCATGGGAAGTTGTAGAGTGTAGTAGTCCCGTCGTTATCTGTACACGTGACGGTCAAAAGATACGCCGCACGTTTTCCTTATGTCTGTATATATTTTTATTACTTGTGCTGTGTAGTAGGGAAACTCATCGTACATAGTAGTCACATGTTGTGTACGTTTTTTCCTTGACTACATTAATCTCGACACTAACATGTGAAATTCATTTTTCACCTCTACTCTTTGCAGAATATTTTTAAATAATTTAATTTGTAATTAATTATTAATTATTGTTATTGAATCAAACGAATGTTGTGGTGTACAAAAATAAGAAAAAAAAATTGATGGTTGTTGTTTGCAGAGAAGTGAGAGGACTATGAAATGGGTGAGAGATGGAAAGACCATTGACATTATAACTTATGTGTAAACTCGTCGAAAAAAATTCGGCTGTCAACTGTATGAGTATGTCTGTCGACATTTTATGAACGTGAAACTCTATAGTAGCTGTTACATAATTATTGTGTGAATATCGTGTCGATGTCACTGTGTATAGTATGTGCATATAAACATACTCTATGGTTGACGATACTGGTCACACGTACCAATATCGTATACATTATTACGTTGGAAAAATACATATGGGACTGTGCACATAATATGAAAGTAATCAATCTTTTACTCTAGTTTTGATATTTTTTATCTTTGTTGTAAGTACCATTGTTAGAAATTTAAATACTAGAAATTGCAAATCGTTTTTCAAACACGTTTTCGAAAACTATAAATTATCACACGCCCGTTTTTTTCCTTCGTGCCCGACTGTCGTGTCTTAATTTGGTTTTTTTCCTATGTTAACTCCCCTCCAGATTGCATTCTTCAGGGCCCTAAAAACAACCGGTTTCCCATATATGCGCGCGAACGACGTTCATACACATATACACAATGTACATATTGCCGTATGCACACACAGACGATAAACGAACCCCTCGCAGCCGCTTACATTACCGTGTGCAGGTTTCCCGTTCCGGAAATTATGGATAAACAAAAGGCGCAGCCCCTATTGATACCCTCACAGTGTTTGCGTGTCTGCGCGTTTGTATATTATATAATATCATGTAGGTTTGGTACCTATGGTGAAAAATGTTCATTGACGTATAGTCGTGCGTGTTCTCACACCATGAGGGATGTGGCGGGAGTGGTCGGAGACGTGTGTGGACCCATAGGAAAAATGTATTTGAAAATTGTGTGTTCAAATCACTAATGCGCGTACCCGATATGGTAGTATACGATTACTCTATTTCGTCGTGAACGTGCGTCGCAGCGTGATTACCGCCAAAATAAGCGTTTTGCGTGTCGATGTAGAATCGAGATCGTGTTCCCATAAATGCTCGCGTCACTCCCATAAAGTTTTTTTTTTTTTTTAACAATGGAGGGACGTTGTAATTTCATCACACTATCGCGTTTCTCCCCTTATCCTATTCGTGTTTATATATTATTGATTATACATACAAGTATACAATAATACATGTACATGCATACGTAACTTATAGATGTATACGTGTATTATATATTCTTTAGTTACATATCAACAGTTATAACAATGAAATCGATAGTAATTATTATCTAGAGTCGACGTGTATCATTAACTTTATGTAAGCACGCGCGCGCTCTTGTTAATATGTGTGTGTGTAACGTGTAGGTAGGTGTACCTTGGTAAATACCTACACATGTTTTAATTTTGGTATATTTTATAATATATAAGTTAAATAAGTATGTTATATATGTTTATAAATGATCGGTAATGTTATTTTAAATTTCAAATTGATATTATAATATGTATATAATATAAATAAATGTTATATCTGCCTAACGACGTTCTTTATATGTATATAAAAGTAATTAAAGTGATATGCCCCTTAAATTTTAAGCAATTTTTTTCCGGTTATTTATTTTTTTCAATTTTTTTTCTCGTAATATCATAATATTTATTTATCATTTCAGATTATGATCTATCTGATCAATTAATGTACCCAGTAGTTCATATGAGACAAGCTATGTAGTTTTCTTACATATATGTGTGTATGAATTGTTATTCATAAACTTAAAACTGCTATAACAATATTTTACTTTTCAAAATCTTCATTACATTTACCCCTCTTTTTGATTTTTTATACTTTCCTTAATCTTTAATTGAGCTGAGTTGTAAGAATAAACGAAAAAAGTAAAAAAAAAAAAAAAATAAGTTTCTACACTAAAAACATTTGATATGTTTTACATTATTGTTAATTTTGTTCAGTATTTATAGAATTTATGCATTTAATTAACTACTTTCACACTTACAATTATTATATTAATTATACTCGTACACGAATACCGCACATAGTCTATACATTTAAATCGTTATACTGCTATTTACTTTCCGATTTATTCATACATAAATTCGCCCTTTTTCCATGTATATTTATATTTTTATATGTAAATATTATAATATATATTAGGAATAATAATATACGACTACGTAATAACCGACGGAACCGGTTTATCGGTTTTTTTCTTTTTGGTTAACACCTGGGCTTTTTCCTATGCACGAGGAAACCTTACACGATCATCTCTCCCTTTCTATAATGTGTTTAGTTACCGTGAAAATCCTAGACTGAACTGTTGTTGGCGGATGCTTTCTTCCTGGAACACTGTGTGTATATTAAATATATGCTAAATTGTATCCCTTTTATCGGCTACTGCGAGTATACCAGTATCTGTAATTTGATACATTCAATGTGCTGTATGTATACATATAAATTGTAAATAAATCGATAAAAATGGTATGCGATCAATACACGTTACAAGGAGTCAAAATATCAATGAAATCTTTTGAAGATAACTTTTGGTGCACATGTATACCGGTCACATGTATACACTTCCTTATAACCCTATCCGGGTCTAGGGTAATCTATAATATATACTCGTATTCTACATTTTGTTACTGTACTTATGCTATGTATACTAATTTCATGCGTATATTAGGTATTAGGTATGTCTTATTTACGAATATGTACACAATACTGATAGGAATTTTATTAAAAAATCATCATCATCATCATACGCATATAAGTTTACAATTATGCATAAATTTAATATCTTCTATTTTGTAAGTGTATACACGCGTAGTATGACCCTGCCGATATTGTCAACTGTGTGTTTTCGTTTATACGCTTTCAATTATTTTGGTAGTGGTTCACAGTGCAGCGTTTTATCATCATTCCAGTGAACTTTATATATACTTTTATAGCGGCAGTTTTCCTTCACCTGAACTCGTGCTTAGGGTAGTTTTCCCCTAGCTTCTCCTCTACCCAACTTGTGTTCGCCGGAACACATACACACAAGGGTCGTCATTAGTCCGGAAACCACCCTCCGGATACATGGTTTTCCTTTTTTCCCTTCCAGAAAAAGTGTGCTATGTATATATAAGTACACTTGTGTATATAATATATATATATATATATATATATATACACACACGCCGGCACACACATATTATACTATACTCATAATGTCTGACTCTCAAAATAGCTCTGTATGAATATAATGCGTATAAAAATAAAATGCACTGTAAATGGTTAACGATTAACAAATTTTTTTATCTGTATATAGAATTGAAACCGTATATCCGATAAATATCGTTGCCGTTGCTATCGCCATGTCGTCCTCATCATCATCACCTCAAAAGTCACAGCCATGGGTGTTGAAAAATTTGTTCAATGACCCGGTTGTGCCTTGTATTGGAGGAAGGGTAAAACTGACCGACGTCAACCCTCATTTAGTATGCGTCTTGTGTCACGGATACTTCGTAGACGCTACTTCCATCGTCGAATGTCTTCATTCTTGTAAGTATATGAATCAACAATTTTAATATAATGTCAAATATACTTATAATACATGCTTAAAATATAATGTATATGAGTACCCTACTATATTACACATATATCATTTCAAGTTCTCACATTCATAAATACGTACATATTATAAATAATATTCACCTTTCTCATTTTATTACGGTTGGTCGCATTATTGACGATATAAGCCGTGTAGAATATAGAAACTCCAAGGGCGCAATGTATTAATTTCTCATAGTCTACTGTCGTTTTTTTTGTATCGATGTAGACATATCATATAATATTCTTATTATATAGACTAATAAATCGATAGTGAATGCTAATTGTATATTATTGTCCTTATGGTTAATTATTCCGAAGTTCTGTACGGTTTATATTTTAGTAAAAGTTGCAATCACTATGATGGAATTTTAGTGAACTCAATTTGATCGAAAAAACAAAAATTACTGTGTCGAAAAGCATGCAGAGAAAATAGGCGAATGACAAACTATGCGTTTGGACGCGGTAGGGAAAACGTACCTTAATGAACTATCTCTCGATCTCCTTATTTGCTTTACACTTCAAAACAATTGGGTACCTCAAAATCTTTTTCTATTACTTAAATTACGCTTTAAATCCGTTCGAATATATTATGATAACGTTATTGATAAGAGGCATAATTGAAAATTTTTTTAATCCATTCAGATTTGAGTAATTCTGAAGTATATATTAGTTAATGATATAAATAATTTAAGGGTCCGTGTAAAAATAATATATTTTGATAAAGTAAAAAAAAAAAATTTTTAATTAGGAACATGCGTGTGAATTAACCCCAATCTTATGTGATGTTTTAAAATAAATAATTTGAATCTGTACAGTATTTTTTAAATCAAACTATGAAATATGAATTCTGTACATTAAAAATACTCCGTTTGTGTAAAAAAAAATTAAGATAATATTAAAACTTTCACTCATATGTACAAAATATTTTTTATTTTTTAAAACTATATTGAAAACAATGGTTTAAGTATCTGTTGTTAATTTTTCATCCGTCCGATTTTTAGCACGTCCACATGCATTCTTTCGCTCGTAATATACTCACGAATATAGATAATGTAGCATATTATATCGGGTTGTAAAGTAAAAAGTGTAATTAAAAAAAAAAAAAAAATCTCCATATATTATCCTGATCCAGGGCAACGTTAATTGAGCGCGCGCATACTAACGACGAATTATTACGTTTAACGGAGTTGTTGCTATGTTCATAATAATAATACGTGTAAAGCAATGTATGTTTTCTACTCGCAACTGCCCCGTACACTTATTGTTAAGTGCATGTTCTCTCGTGTGTACACGTATACATATTGTGTATTACGTGTAATATGTTAATATTAGTAATACGTGTGTGCATCAAGGGCGGCGCACGTGTAACAAATACTCAAAAGTAAATCCGTGGCCGGTAGTGTCGCGCGACGGGGTCTGGTAGTGATGGTAGGGGGTGACCGCCGCCGCCGCGTACAATGTGATTGATTGCCTACCGTGTGTGGTATGTTTATATTGCGTCGCGGCGGCTGCACGGCACTCGCGCGAGCGTTTACCCGTCGTCGACTCATCGGCTGCGGCGGCGGCTGCTGACGGTGGTGGTGACGCCGCCGCCGCGCGTAAAAGCATGGCCCCGTTGCGCGTGCGCGCGCGCTAACCCGTGCGACGTTGCCGTCGTGTCGGTATGTTTTGATCGGGCGAAACGACAACGGCGTTGCCGCTTCGACGCGCGTACAACATATAATACGTACGGTACGTATATACGCGGAGTGGCGGAGTGTTGTTGTAGAGCGATCGTACCGCGTGCGCCGCCGTCGAGGAAAACACAACAAAAACCATCTGTGCGACTGTTGTGCGCGTTCCTCGTCCGTTTCCCCCGCCGCCGCATCACGACGACCGTGCACGTAATAATTATATATTCCTCCGCCGCTACACACTACTAACCTACGGCTCGTAAATCCGGCACAAGGACCTCGGCCGCCGCCGTCCTTCCCTGGTGTCATCGCCGGGGAGACGCGAGGGCAACCGTCGCCCTCCGCTCCGCCACCACCGCGTTCTGACGGCTAGTGCGCTTCTAATTGGACGCGCGACTATGACGGCGGTGAGGGGGCCGTGAAAAACGTTTTCTTCTCTCGACCGTCGCGGCGGGTGGACGCGGGGCGACTGCGATAAACGCGCGTCGTGTAGGCGGACGGGGAAGAGTACTACTCCATAGACCGTACAGTGCGGGGAGGGAGTTGCGACCCTGAGTGCGCTCGAACCTCGGTAATGTTGTTTTTGTTTTTCTCTCTCTTGCGCTCGTTTTTCGTCTACGGTTTTGTTTTTTTCTCGTCACACTTCATCAACACGTTACGACAAAAAATGAGAAATACATTTATTATGTTCACAAGCTTTACCTTTTACCGGTAATTAAAATACGATATAACGTTCTATTTTTCGACCAACACGTTATGCAGAGGCATTTACGCGACGCGCGTTCTTCGATTGACATTGTTTTCGGCGTTGCCGTTGTTATACGCCGTAATTTGTAGGTACCGTATCATCGTAATTTATTGTGTCATTATTTTTTCGTCATTGATGATTGTGCTGATACCGTTATGTTTTGTTTTCAAAACGTATTTACACACAACGTGTGTAATATTATTAGTTATTGTTTATTACTTATTGATTATAATTATAATATTACCTAAGAGTTAATAATTCTTCTAAATCAATGACTACATACACATAAATTATTTTATCGATTAGTTTAATGGCATTAATTAAATCGACAGATGACCAACGTTATCTGTACGTACTGTTTACTTATAATTGTTAACCACGGTGTTTGGTAGTAATTAATAATTATTTACAAGTACTTTTAAGTTCTTTTGCTGTAACGTTTACGACAAAAGTAAATAAAAAAATAAAATAAAAAAGTATTAAATGTTTCCCTTATACTTCAGTTCACATTGAGTTTAAAGCATTTTTGGAATTGCTTAATTATTGCTGTATTTATTATTTTTATTAATTTGCTCGTAGATAAAATAATGTAGTCCACCGAATAACACTACTGTATCTTTCTGTAATATATTCTTAATACAAAAAAAAGCACTTTTCATGACGTATACTGATTATAATCAGTCTTTTTTTGACAATTTCGTTGAATTTATACAACCAATGAAACCATATCTCAATCTGACGTCCATAAAAGCGGGGACGTCGGCAGTCTTTCGTGAGTAGGTGTTCGTCAAGATTTATAAATACAACGAACTGACGATTTCTATATTCCATTAATACAAACAGGAATTCAGTCCGATGGCGTTATAATTTCTTTTGTATACCCACCATGGGTAATATACAGAATTTATTTTTCAATGTACCAAAGTGTTATTTTCGGACGACAATATCATGAAATAAGCTAAATATTAACAATCACATTTATTTGTGAAACTATATTTAAAACCTTAAAACGAGTGTAATAAGTTGTTATAAATAGACGAGAAAAAAATGTATGTGATTATTAATATTTTGCTTGTTTCACGATATTGTTGTTCGAAAACAACATTTATATGTATACATGTATATAGTTTCCCATCGACGAAAATGTAATAATAAAATATTTGAATTGTAAGAAGTCCTTACAGAAACGAGACATAAATGTTAATTCTGTCATCGACGTACATTTAATTTTTCTGAAATAATTTATCTACTTTTAATCAGTATTCAACAAATATGGGTGAACAAATTCCATAACGAAAGGATTAGGAAAATACTGTAACGTATTAGCAAAAATTATTGTCGTTATATCTACACTCGTACTATATTAATGTTTTTAAATCGTAAAAATAGGAAGATACTATATTGATATGTATGTGATTTAGTATGCACTATCAAGTATAAACTAGCTTGATCAAACAACAAGTCGATTACTAGACAAAACACCGTCGTCGCTACATTGTGCATTGTGCTGTGCATTACACACACGTGAACCCATAAAGCATTGTGTTTTCGGATCGATCCGTTCCACACTCCGAAACGTTTGCTTAATAATAAAACGGGCGTTTTTCTTTCGTTTTTGAATTTCCAAGTCGACTCAGGAGATACCGTTGAAATATTCCCCGGTCATGCCTCCGAAACGCCAAGGACTGTACGACGCGCTGGGGTAAAACTTCGTATAATGCTTTAGATAAAACTTGGTCGATTAACCATTGACAATATGCTAATCGCTTCGAATCTTCCGACGGATTTTCGCTTCATTTGTGTATGATAATGTACGTTAATACATGACTGCTAATGTTTCGAGCAAAATTATTTCTTTCGTACAGAAATTTACAACCTATAAATAATAATAATAATAATATGTAAATATAAATGTATACTAAATTAGACTATTTAAACCTACAAATAGGTTGATCAACATTTTTTTTTTTGTGTATATTATATACTTTTATGTTTACCAAACTTAATGATTTTTTTTTTTACATTTCAGTTTGTCGAAGTTGCATAGTGTTGCATTTGGATAAAAACAATTTTTGCCCGATCTGTCGAGAAGATATTCAAAACAGCAAAGTTCTTAAGTAAGTTTAATTAGATTATTATTTATAATTCTTTTGTTTACCTCACATTTTACATAATCGATAAAACAATGTCTTCAATGCCTTGTTTACACGTGACGAGTACTCGGCCGTGTCACTCATTATGTTGCTCGGTCTAATACCGAAATTGACCGAGTCAGCATTTACATATATTTTATTTGCTTGGCCGAGTGACACATAAGTTCACTACACAATCTACTCGGTTGGCGGTTTATACACACCGAGTACAGTTGATTTTGGTAGTAGCTGTAGTCGCTCGGCCGAGTGAATAGAAACGGTTTCTATTCACTCGCTCGATCATTTTACTGGGCCGAGTACTAGACCGAGTACTGGTTCCTTGAGTTCACACAGGACAGTGCTCGGTCGAGTTGACTCTCTCGGCCGAGTACTCGTCACGTGTAAACAAAGCATAACTATCATTCACACATTTTTTCTTGATAAGTTATTTTATTTTACACTTGTAATATATATATGTTCATGTACTCAAGTGTGTATGGTTGACGTTTTAAGATTAAGAGATATTAAAACAATATACATATGTTTATCAATACTCAAAATCCCTGTTATTTTATATGCAACTGTAAATAATGTGGAATCCACACCTGTATAAATGTTGAAAAATATATTCATATCCAGCTGTTTAACAATTGTCCGTACTATAATGGAAGTTTTGTTTTTTTATTTACTTTTATTATTAAACCTTACAACAATAATAATATAAGTTATACTATTGTTATATTTAATACCAAATTTTATAAAAAAAAAAATAAAAAAAAAAATTAAATAATTATTTAATAATGGGTAAATTTTAAAAACATTTTAAACCATTTTAAAAACATTTGTCATTATACTTAAATGTGTTTTACGAAAACAATAAACATAAACTGAATATCTATGATTTATATTTTATAAAAATATCATTTAGATGCCATACATAAAAATATTTTCTATACGAACTTAAAAATATTTCTTCACAATCATTTTAACATTCTTATTAGACCTTATTTGACACACTACAATGGTTGAATTTTGAAAAAGAGCAAAGTTTTTATATAATACTAAATGTGGAAAAAACGGATAATGTCTACTACGAGACAAAAGCATTAATATCAGAGTTATCCGACCGAGGAGATGCCGAGTAAAGTTTTAATGGTAAAATAAGGGCACTGCGTATTGAGTAACTTTGAAGACAACTGTCACACCTTACGACTGACTATACTGTGAAAATTTACAGTACAATTACGCTTGTCATGCGTAACTAAAATACTAATGCAATGAAAAATTGTTTATTATTATTATTATTTAACGGTTATCACTTGAGCATCAACTTGTTTATCATAGTAATGTTTACGTTTAAATGTGATTTTTCGTACACGATTCACATTTTTGTATAAATCGCATCTAAATTAATAAAGTACAAAGAGATAGATACGCAATATTGTATAGATACATTGTAAAAGCCCAATATTGCGCACTATCAATGTTTTTCTGTATTATACAGGCTCGGCCTACGCTAATCGTTTGCAATATTATTAAAAAAATTGTAAATTATACGGGAAAAATGATTAGTTCCGAAAATCGAAAAATATTAATAAACGTAGTCGTAAAACGGTTTTAAAAAATTAAAAATGAATACGATAAGCTGCATGAGAAAGAATTAATTCTTGTGTATGTAACATACTTGTATAAACGAAAAAAATCGTCACGACCATCGAATTTCGTAATAGCAGTACAAAACGTATAAACTGGACATGATGTGTTTTCTTTTTACGATTTTACATCAGCGGTATTCATCCTTATTTTATTTCACAATTCAAAACGTTTATTCGGCGGATGCAGTATTCTCTCTTATAAGTATTCTGTGCATTCAAATATATTCAAGTATTAGGTACACATATTGCACGGTGTATGTTGGTGTACACAAACACTTTTTGCGACATCGGCAGTAACTCATCATTATCCGAGTAAAAAGGTTAATATTAGAGATTACACGATATTTTCGGTCAGGTAAAAAAGTCGACGTAGAAGATAACATGCAGGTATAACATTCAGGTGTGATTCAATGCTCGTTTTCGTTTCAAAACCGTGCCGCGATCGCCGCCGCCGGGCTTTTCTCGCGGGAAAAGTAGGTACGGTACGGTGCGCGCGTTTTCGTCGTAAACGTATACGCACTCGACGGCGGCCGGTGGGTATACGGTGCGCGGCAAAGTCGAGTTTCCCTACCACGCCGACGACGGCGCCCGTGTCAATGGCCTCTTTCTCTCTTGGCGGCAGCGTTGCCGCGGCCGGTGCGTTCGTCGCTGGTTTCCGTGTCGTAAAAGAAAAAAAAAATAGCAGACAGTAGTGCGTGCGGACTATTCGAAATCGTCAACATCTGAAATGTATGTTACGGTATACATATACATACTTTGGTAACCGTGAGCATGAGTGAAAGAGAGAGAGTGAGAGAGTGTGAGAGGGGAGGCTGCGCGGGTGAGAGAGAAACGTGGAAGGGAAGAGACAAGAGTGGGAGACGGTGAGAAAGATAAACGGGAAAAGTAGAAAGAGACGGTAAAAAAATAACAATAAAATTTCATTTATACACACGAGTGGCTTGGCAGTGTATCGGATTTTCGCGCTGTTGCCGTACGATTTTCTTTTCCGCGGCCGAATCCGGTTCGAAACACGAAATTTCGCGCGAAAGTAACACATTCACCGCGCGCTCGCGTATTACATATATTATTATTATTTCGTTTGGACATGTACAAACGCGCACACCTACCAATACGTTTTCGACTCTGCCCGCCGTTATTATTCTCGCGTACACGTATTATAATGTGTGCATATTATCATAATCGACACCGAGCAAAGTTCACGCTCGTCGCGATATCGTTGCATTTCGTAATACGTATAAACTATTATTACCGAAACGATCGCTCGTGTACGTTTTGAATTTGTAACTCCCGAATTTCATCGCACGAAATATGTTTCGGTTGAATCGCGTGTTTATTACAAAACCGCTAAATATTTTTTCGTAATACTTATTGATGTTAAACTTATAGACATAAATGTAATACATTTTATTCTCATCGTCTTTTTATAGTTTTTATGTCGACAATCATATCAAAACCGTTATTTTACACTAATAACGAATGGAAAACGAACTGAGGATTCGTTCGTGACATAACACCCTCTTTCGACCTTCTCATACCGGGCGGATTCTCGCACAATTAATTTTAATTTTTCGTATTATAAATGTCGCTGTCTTACGTCGGCCCTTTTCTGGCTTATCCGAAATATTCATTACGTAAATAAATTAAACAAATACAATTGATTAAATTAAATTTTTTCACAAACTTTGTTTGGAACAATACATGCAATTGAATAAAATAATGATAATCCTATACTTCATCTAACATAAATACTCTACGTATACTCTATTTATATTGTTATTATTATAATTCTAATACTTACATTAAGAATTTTTCGTGTAAATAAATCCATCATTATAGGCTGTCAAGTAAATTTTTTCGTAATAAACAATTATTAAAGTATTGAATAAGTACATATTATACTTCACACAAAAAAAAATTTTATCATACGACCAATGGTTGATTGGTATACATATCAAAAATCATATATAAATCATATAATATTATTATAAGTATAAAAACGCGTTGGTGGTATTTATCTGAGAAAGTAAAGTGTCGGAATAATAATTCAACTCTGTTGTATAATATATTGTTTAATTTAAATCGCTCAAATATAATAGGCTTTGTATTGTTTGCGGGAAACTCATTGTTCTGTGGTTATATTCACCCTTATGTGTACTTGTGTACTGTATATATCTTTATGTGTGCGTCTTATTCAATTATTCCAATTGGGCATATTTGTTACATGTATGTATATATATATATATATAGTGCACCTTTTTTCTCGTTTTACATCAATCCCATTTAATAAGGGCAAGAACGAATAGTTTTTGTTTACAAAGTAGGTTTTCTTTAAAAGTTTGAGCCGCCTGAAAGTTGCCGTCGCCTAAGGGTTAAAAGAACTCGGCAAAGTCAATATGATCTGAAGTAAAAACTTTTTACTCAGCATGATAGACTATATCTGGCCTGCTTAATAAAAGTAATGAAGTTTAAACTCGGGCAACCATTATATTATATACATTTATGTAATACATATACAGGTATGTATATAATACTTTCGTCTATACATATATAACAAATTCTTTATTCTTGTTCACAAATTTTGAAAGGAACTAATTGTAATATTGAATTTATTACTAGAATCGTTATTATTTTATGTTAAAAATTTTCTAAAAAATACAATAACTTTTCATAGTAAAGGACAAGAAGCATGCAAGAATTGTTGAAAATATTATAATATTAGGTTATTCGATGTGTAATAAATTATTAAATTTATCCTTTTAAGTTATTACGTTATCTATACGCTCGAGCGTTGAATATGATGTCATCAAGAGAAGGTCTTTTTTTTTTTTGCATATCGAATTTAGTTTACAGTAAATACAAACTTCTGAGAGATAACCAATTGTTGTTGTGTTATACGCTGCAGTCTGCAGGTATACCATAACCCGTATATTTGATATTAATACAAGAGAAACCTACTTTGACTGGCCGTAAGTGGAAAAAGAAAAATATTGCGAAATATTTTTGGACCTATGCCAATTTAAAATATACCGAAATTTTAAATATTTATCAGCATTGAATGTATAGTAAATTTTATGAATAAAATTTATTAAAAATAATATAATTTTAACATGTATACGATCTTTGTTTGTCGTAATAACGATAACGATCAGGTCTGAGTGTGTAAAAAATGCATTTTTATTTAAAACGATATAATAATGATTATACTTGATTTACTGTTGCAGGCCTGACAAAGCGTTACAAGATATTGTGTACAAATTGGTCCCGGGTCTATTTCATTCGGAAATGAAACGTAGACAAAATTTCTATAAAGAACACCCTCATAGAGGTAGAGTTACAATTTAGAATACATCAAATTTTTCAATGATATTTAACGCTACATTTTACGTATTCATTTAACAGATATGCATTTACATCCCGAATCTCGAGGTATTAGCGTCGATCGAATCGTATACACAGCTGACGAATTGATTAGTTTGTCATTGGAGTTTTGTGATAAGTAAGTGTTCAAAAATTATTGTTAATATTTTAACATTATGTATAGAAATATTATAGCATTTAAGTAATAAGATTTTTTACATTTATTCCTATACTTAATAATACATAGGCTTTTATCGAGATTTAATTTTAGTCCTAAATTTATGGGTTAGAAATATTGATTACGACAGTAAAGTTATTTTGGATTTATTAACAATTCTAACCTATGTTCATTTATTTGTTGTTCTGTAGAACCATTAGAACAGTTAACTCTTTTACACAATATTTTTAAGCATAATTTTATAAGCGCTTATCGAAATTATTTAAATAACCTTTACTTACAATACATTGTATAAGTTATTATATTGGGAATTTTTATATTTATATTTGTATAAACTGTTGAAATTGGCTTACTAGAAGTCCCTTACCACTTCCTTAATTAATTCAGTTTATACTATTTTATCGTACCAAAATCTGTTGTAATGTTGTTTTTGCTTAATATGCAAATCTTATGTGTATATATATAAACGTACATTTTTTAACAGCTTATATTGAGTTAAATTTCTATAAAAAAAAAATAATATTTGTATGTTGACATTTTTTCAGTCAACACAGTTTGTAACTATTAATTTATTGATAAAACTACTGTTTATTTCCAATTGGTACTATACAATGTGAAAATAGAAATAGTTATCGATCGAACATACATTTTTGTTTTTATTTAAGGCCACTGTGGTGTTTAACTTCCCCATCAGTTCTACTCCCTGACTACAATACCGGATGCTACAGGTCTTCCTCTATAGTACCCATCTGTGACCAATGTAGAGTGAGAGACAGAATGAGAGAAAGAGCACTGAATGCATTTTCCCTGTGCGTTATACATATCGATCAGGGCCCAGTACGGTAACCTTGGTTACAGCGACAGGCCGGAAAACCCATATTTTTCTGAGATCTTTCGCTAATGCTAGAATAAGTTAAAAAAACATACACCTTTATTATTCTAATTAGAAAAATTAATCATTTTTAGATTACAGTTGTAGTTCTATTTATTGCAATAAATTATTATGATATTATAATTTTTTTTTTCTTTTTTACAAAATACTTTCCTAATTCTTTGAAAAATCTATTCTATATTCTTATAAAATTATTATTTATAAAAGTTATTGATAAAAAATATCTATTTTCCATAATTTTTATATTATTCGGAGTGAACGAAAAATTAATAAATTTTGTTACATAAGAGTAGGTAATCTATCCATATATTAAAACATTTTAGTCGTTATACTTATATCTTGCAAGGATTGGTTATGATATCAGTTTTTTTAAATTATAACATTCTGAACAATTTATTATTATTACTAATATATTCGAATGTTTCATTGAAACTTGATTATTTGAGATATCCTCATAATTTCGAACTTCTTAATGTATACCTTCTGCGCATTTCATATTTATGATTGACAGTTGTAATTTTTTTCACCCCGGAATTCTCATTTGAAAACTATGTCTATTGTTTACCATTTTCAACCCTTCGCTGAATGATTTCCGTCCGTTTATTAAATGGCGATGAATTTTATACCCCTTCCTTCGAGCTCTCTCTTCAACATGTGGAATTTCAGGGTTTCATAATTCGTTTGTCGTACGCGCCACTTATTTTCTAACCCCCCTCTTCTCTATGTCAAAATCCCATCTACTATGCTGTACCGATCGCTGCTGTTTTACGCGCTCTCTTCGTGTCTTTTGTACAGCACGCGATACACATGGGCGCACTATTGCAGCTGTTGCAACGCCACCCTGGGTTACAAACTATATTTTACTGTAAATTGTACATATATATATTTATATATATTTATATATACATACAAACATACATACATTTTACAAGTATTGGACCGTTGTATTGCCGAAAATTCGGAAAAAAATTCAAAATAATAAATTAATCGCCTAATACAAAAAAGCTATTTTTACGAAGCTGTTTCTTTCATTGACTTTCGTATCTTTAAAATTATTTTAGCATTAATATTTTACACCTAAGTTTTTAAATCTATAATATGATAATGTTTAATAAGTAATTATAATAAAGAATATGATGGTATATATTTTGACTTATGTATTTAGAGTAACTTAGTAATACTATGGTATATCTCGCAATATATTACACACTAATGTATAATACATCTAATGAACACGTTACATTAGACTTGACGTTATTACCTATTTTACATTAATTCACAAAAAACACGTACTATAGTAATATAGATACCTAATACCTGTATGCATTTAAGCTGTCTTAAATAGTTAATACAAATATACTATAAGATGTATAATTTACTATGCAAAAGTATTTAATTTTATTAACTTTTTTGTTTTTAGAGAATGTGAACAAGAAATGTGGAAAAATGTCACCGATGACAAAGGCTTGCAATACAAAGTGAAAGTAAGTGTTGTCTTAGAAATTTACTTTACATAAAAACGGATTATTATTTTCTTCAAAAACTAATTATTACTTTGATTTATTGAAATCTAATGAAAATTATTATTATTTTTTAGGCCGAAAAGCCACCCAAGTGTATTGTAAGAAAACGATACTTGAAGTGTCCTGCTGCTGTTCGAATGTCTCACCTCAAAAAATTCGTTCGTCTTAAGTACAATCTAAAACCTTCGGATACGGTAAACATATATTATTGATGATTTTTTTTTAATTTTGTTCTTTTAAGCTATAAATTATCTTATTGCATGTGCATTCTAGTTAATTATATTTATTCATGGGTTAAATAAATACTCTTCTCGAGTTATTCATACAAATTTAGTAAAATAATTATAATGTTTAGCATTTTTTTTTTTTTTCTAAATTTATACGTAATAATAATATAGTTATATAATATTAATTGATACATTTTATAACATATAATAATATAGTACAGATAATAATAATAATATAAGTGCAGATGTATACTTATAAAATCAATCATGTTTCCTTTCCATTTATCCCGAAGTTACGTATTTACTAGATTGATAAACATAAATTAATTTTTCTGTCTATAGTTTATACTTTATAGTGTATATATTATGTTTTCATATAAGTATAACCTTTAATTTTTGTCTCACGCGTGATTAATGTTTAATAAAAATGTATTGTATATGTAGGTACATACATAAATATAAATACGAGTATTATAAATGAATAATGAGTATTTCCTCTAAAATCTAAAATTTTGTACTGTTGGTACAAAGTAAATATTTTGTGTATAATTTTTTATTGAGGATTAATTATTTTTTTTATTTTTGAAATAATACATATTTCACACGAGTATACTAATAGGAACGATTAGATTTAGTTGTTTTAAAATTTTTCAGTTTACTATTATATAAATATTAGGTTTATATCTAATAAAATATTAAAAGGTTTATTTTATATTTACGTGAACATAGTTTGTTCCTGACTTAAAATATTTGATGATTGGTCCACACAGATCGATAATTTTATTTATCTCTTCTTAAATTACTTAATAATGGATGAGTTTAAAAATTCCTCAAATAAAACGATACATTATTTTACTTATAGAACGTGTTTTGTATTTATTTTTTATCGTACATGTGATTAAGACTTAGAAGGTCGATCGATTCATCGTTGTTCTAACTTACCTGTTGTTTTATTTTCGCAGGTCGAATTACTGTATAGAAGAGAAAGCCTACCCGAGGAGTATTCTATAATGGATATTGCGTATATTTACACGTGGAACCGAAACGAACCGATGCGCTTTTTTTACAAAATTAACGCTCGTGTTACGGTGCCTGTAATGCCAGTGACGGATAAATGTTATACCTCATTAACAGACGATGTACCTACCGAACACAGTGATTCGCCGTTGTCGATTACTAACGAAGAAATTACTTCTTTGCCTTCTCAAATCACGGGGACAACTATTCCTTGTCACCTCGTCGAAGAAAGAGAAGAAGACACGAAAAGCACCACACCAGAACTGAAGTTATCCGCCGCCGAGTCGGCGATTGAATGTGAAAAATTGCTCAAAACAGAACTGGTCCAAAAAGAACCGGTGACAAATATCGAAAAAGCGGAATCAATCAGTGAAAACCGTGAATCGTCCACCGCGCCAACGTCAGTTGAGTCCACTGTACTCCTTAACCCTCCAATATCACCAGAAGGTACTTCGAGGAAGGAAAACGTTTCGGATAACGTCCGGAACAATTGCGCTAACGAGTCGGCAAAATCTACCGTTGCTGCGGTAGCAGTAATGGACGATAAAAAATCCGTTGATCCCATCATTCAACGGCAGACCGGTATCACCTCTGATGTTCCAATGAAGAAACTGGAAAAACTAGTGGATCAGCAACAACAAACTCCTCCGATCACTCCTGTTGTCAGTACATCTATTCCATCGCGATCCGCTCTACCAATATCGAAGAAACCCACCGGTGTTGGTGAATCGAAGCTCAACCTATCCATCACGAAACTAATCATGAAAAATCAGAACGCCTCCGCAGCTGCTAAATTTGTGCCCACTCTGCAGCAGATGCAACAAATTGGTATGCATACGTCTATCCCTAGCTTTTTACAACAGCAACAAACTCCTCCGACGACACAGTCGTCAAATTACAACCGACCCGGCTTTGCCGGTGGTATGCATCAGCTCAAACGAACCCCGGATGCATTGCCTATCCGAAGTCAAGCACCAACCAATCGTCCTCCATTTATACCGGTACGCAAATCGTACGAGTGGAATAAGGCCAGAAACTTGGCAGCTAAGCCCTGCGCATCACCGGGGACAATCATCAATAAAGACATTAATAAACCGAACGACAAACCAGTGGCAATGATGGAAAAGTCCACAAAGAAGACAACCGTGGATAACAAACCTATGACAAATGCCGCCGGTACATGTCTGTCGTCGAAAAACTCCGACGAAATGAACGCCGCGCAAAGTCTGTTAAAAGTGGGTCAAGACATACGGTTCTCGAAGCCACCGATAATGACCGATTTACACGGAAAGTACAATTGTGAATCATCGTTACAGATCACCAAAGTCACCGAGCCCGTGACTAATCAGTCGCCGGTGGTACACGAAAAACACCCTAACTCGCAACCTAGCTTACAGATAATGCGAGTGGCGCCGGCGGCGGACAAGACATCAATGAAATCAGCAGCCGTTAACGAGGCCGGTAGCAACGGTAACACCACCGCTGCCGTCAAACCTGTTAATAAAAAACCCGTACCAAATCTGTACAGTATGCCGACGAAAAGGACGAAAGACGATTATCATAACCATAACGGAGTTATTGCGGACAATAAACGTATAGAGAGACGCGTGGACACGGAAAATGGCGTGCTAAGCGTGTCGCTGCTGACTGAAACGTCCAAACAGGACATGGATGCTAAGCGCAGAGAGGTCGTGCAACCGGACGTATCTATCAAGCTGATGACGTTCGCGACGGAATCGTCGAAAAAGACACCGGAACTGAGTCCTATCGGTGGCATCAATGGATTTAACAAGAGGAAACCAGACGAATCGAATGCTGTCGGGGTTAGTAATGCTTGTACTGTGAACAACCAAAGTAGCAACAAAAGAAGACTACTGCAGAACGAACTGAATTCTATAAGTAGTAGTGGTAGCATCAATACGAAAAAGTCGGACGAGCCGAATCCTGTGAAAAGGAGGAAACAGGAAGAACCAGAGCGGAAGGTGACGCCACCGAAACCGGTGTCGATCAAGGACGACGTGCCGCAGTTGATAGAAATAAATTCGTCACCGTACTCAAAACTTTTGCCCGCGAAGAAACAGCAAATTTTGCCGAAAACTCAAGCACATCCAAAACAACAGCAATCCGCTGCTGTCTCTCCGAAACCGTTACAGCAAACTACACACAACTCGAAACAGCAGCAATCCTCTGCAACCCCGAAACAACAATTGGTAACTCTGAAACAGCAACACGTGGCGAAACTTCAACCGACCACTGGCACCAAAGTCCTAGACTTATCCAAATCGCCTCCCAACACGAATGGCATTGTAAAACGAATCGGTGATTCTTCGGATAGCTGTTCTCCGCCAAAAAAGAAGACTACTAGTCCGGTGCAACCGACGACGAGTCCGGTGCAATCGATAAGTAGTCCGGTGAAACCAACAACTTCGCCGACGATGTCCAATGCTGCCACCGCGGCCGTCATCAACTCGAACTTGTTGTTCGCAGCCCAAAGGCAAGCGGCCGCGTTTCTGTTGAAGCAGCATTTCGACTCGTTAAACAACGAACTGCAAATGCGCAACGGTGGCGGCGGCGGCGGTAGAACTCCAACCGAGTGGCCTCGAGCTATGTTCAATCCTGCGTTGTTCGCCAGGCCTCCCACCAACCTCAACAATTGAATGGTCTTATTACTGTTATTCTGTTCGTAGACGATGTGTACATACGTTTACATAGTGTATATATATATAAAAAAAAATTTAGCTTTTTTAATCTTACCGCTGTGCGGTACAATATTGTTCTTCTCTGTTTTACATAGTCATCATATTATTATGGTAAACGAGTTGTTCGTCTGTGTACATAATGTATTATTACAATTATTGTATTTTTGTTATATTTTAACTTTTATTTTAATATTTTTGTTACGAGTATGTGTTATATAATGTTAAAGCTCAAATGACGTGTACGTTTTTTTTTGTTTCCCCATGTAATGTACATATATTATTATTACTGTACAAACAAGACACACATGTGAAAACGATTGCCCTACACATGCGTTCACCGTTGCTCTGTAGGTTATTCACACCGTTTTATGAACTATATAAGGACGTGGGATCCGTATGTATTTGTCGCGAATATTTTTCTATATTATATAAATATTTATTTATTACGAAGCACATTGCGTGCGGTGCCGCATTTGAACCGCATAACGACAATATTTTATTGTGATGTAACAATGATGTTAATTATTTTATTTTTTGTACGAACCAATAAATTTAACTATATTTACGAGTATATTATTAAAAATTTGTATTTTTTCTTTATTTATTTTTCTTTTCAATTTCTCATATTCTAGAGAGGTAAATAGTATATCGGTGTGTCGAAAGGGACTATGAGTGTGTGCATACGCAACACTCACCGTCGACACCGGTGATCCGAACAGATATGAGACCGCGTCGTCTCGCACGAAGTAACCGCATCCCGTTGGTGAACAGAGGGACAAATATTTTTTTCGCCAAATATACCTTTTGTTAACCGGCCGTGTTAACCTAAAACACCATCTCGGCCCCTCTAAAACTTCGGGCACAAGTGAAAGCTCTAAAGTCGGTTGCGAGATTTCAAAACTTAGTGGCCTCGGTCCAAACTTTAATAGATTCTTACATGCTCTCGTATGACCCCTAGACCCTAGGGGTTGCATCCGTCAGAAACAATGAAAATATAATTTACAGTATGAATACACTACATTTCATTCACGTAGCAAAAACTCGTATTTTCGTTAACGATATAAATGTATATCGTAACCGGTAAAACAGATAAAAGCTTAAACTAGTTTTATTTTAAGGAGGGTGAAGGGTTCGCGAGGTGACCGATCTTATTGTTTACCCATTTGGGGGGGATGGCGACGTTGAAAAGATTGTGGAATGGCTTAGGCATGCCGTACGGTAAGTTACGTAGAAATCATGACCGCAGCAAGTGGTAACGGTACGCACCGCGTATTTCGTCTAATAATAACGTATCGATTTCGTCGACAGATCCAACGCGTCGAGATCGTACAACGACGTGCAACCGAAATTTCGTCCGACCGGTACCGGACGTTTCGAAAAGTACCCCGGCACACGGACAGAGTCACCGCGTGTACAACGTTTTGTTTGTCGTGGTTTTTTTTTCGTCCTCCGTCCATCGCACACCTGTCCGGCGGATAGCATCTGCCCGGCGGACGAGCCCCGTCATTTTCGGTAGTCGAGAAGGACACCTACCTACCTACATGCGGGGCCCGTGGGCGTGTTCCTCGTTCGCCACAGGTGCGGCCTTGCAGTCGAACATTATCGCGTCGAGTACACCGGGTAGTTTTTCCTAATCGGTCATGCGGTTTCCGTACGATTAACACGCGTGACGCACCGCGCGAACGAACGACACATAAAACACGTCCGAGACGGCAATTCTGACGTGATCGGTCTCGAATTGATACCGCGTTTTCGTTTCGTATCGATTTACGGTGTACAACGCATTACCACTATCGCGTCGAGGTCGTCTGGATTTCATAGAGATGACGCGCGACCATGATCCGTCCACACCACTGTTGCCGTACGCGTGCGGAAAGCTGCTCGACTGCGAACGGTGCGAGGATCGGTGTTGCATAATCATTATCTCCTCCTCCCGCGGTGTCGTCCAGTAAAATGAAATTCTATCGGTAACAGTCGGGTCGATCGATACTTCCGACGGCGTTTGAACGAGTCGTCCAAGAAACCCATTCGGAATCTTGAAAATCTTGAACGTGCGCGCACCCTCAACACCGGCGCACGGTTCCGGGTGAACACCGGTCGCGTGTAACATTATCGGCGTCGGCAAACGTTCGGGAGACGATAGAAGACCCGGTCGGTTTTCGTACCTCGAGACCTTGCACTCGGTCTACTGTCCGACGGCGTCGATCCCAACCGTAGAGTCACGAACACTTTCGTGTCTGTTTGTCAACATCGTAAAGGGCCATTATTATTTCTTCGATCGGTTACACGTTCGTCGGCGTCGAGAACCGATGACGTATCGCTGCGCCCTCGGGTCGATAGCGCTGTTGGACTTGATCGACCGGCCCGCGTGAAAATTAACGTTCTTAACGGGGAAATCGTCCGAAGCGAGATCGTCTCGAACGATGGGGATACGGTCGCGTATACGACACGGCACGGTCTCGTCTCGCGCAGTCGAACAATTAACGGTGTTGGATCGAAGAGACGTGAGGAAGTCTGCAGTAGCGGACCGGCCGTACGCGGGTTTCTTTCAGACCGGCACGCGCGTACACAATACGCAATAGTTACGACGTTTGTCTATGCCGGTGAATAGTACATTGTGTGTCCGGGACCGCACGGGCGTGATGCCATAAGCGCGCGCGCGTGTCGAACGAAAGAAAAGAAACAACGAACAGTGCGTGTACTACGTGCACGTGGGTACGGGTAGAGGTGTACGCGGGGAAAACGATCTATGTATATTCGTTGCGGTTTCTTCGATCGTATGAACTTTCGATGTTGTTCACGTTGCCCCGCGCGTAGTGTACTTTTTGCACGGGCTCGTGACAGACGCGATCAGCAAGCGCATAATATCGTCAAACGATATTATCCTTTGACCGATGATTACGCTGAGGGCGTGATGCACACGAATGACGTACGGCGGCGATACGAAGAAGCGGCCCATAGATTCGATTAAACAACACATATTGACTGTTCGAAAACTACTTGCCCGTGCCCAAAGTGTAATGCAGAAAACTTTTCCGCACCGTAGCAACACTGTCGCGGCGGGGAATGGATGAACGGTAAAATTACTGATCGTCGTTTTTTATAATATCGTTTCAACGATAGAAAGCTATATATGTCAAAGAAAAACGTTTCGAAAAACAAAAAAGACCCAAGTATACCCAAGTAAAATTTGATCAGATTCGGTCGGTTGCGTATTTTTTTCCCGGTCGGCTTTTGCTTAGGGATGCAAATGCTAGAAACTCTCTGTCCCGATCATGCGACGTATTGAGGGTCACGTTTTGCCATGTTACGCGCAATAGATGGGATCGTATCATCGTTGTACGCCGTGGCACACTCGTAGCGCAGTACACTGTTCTGGAGACGAGTGAACCGTAAAGCGTAGCAGTTTACACGCCGTCGTTTGAGCGGTGTGGAGACGGCGTAACGTTTAGGAGGGTTAGTCTCGACCACCACCCACGGTTGTCGGACACCGGCGTAAGTTTAACGCTTGGAAACGTCGGATTCGAGTTCGTAAAATGTTTGCTGTGACCGATCGGACCACGGCGAACCATTTCTCCGATCAGAGATTTTTGTACCGATCGTCAATGTCAGATCTAGGGGGAACAAGTGGGTATGCTTGCCTCAAGCGCAGTTAGTATAAGGGCTCTTGAGTTAACGAAAAATAAAAAAAAGTCATGAACATACATCATCTTCGTAAGGACACTGCATAATTATTAGTCCCGAGCATCAAATTTCCTAAATCCGGTATTGCCGATCGTTCATGAATGACATAACGTTTAAACGAAGCAGTGGCGTATCCAGAATTTTTTTTTTTTTTTTTTTGGGGGGGGGGGGGGGGGTTTAGAAGAAATGTAACAACATTTTTTTTAATTTTTGTATATTTTTATTATAATCAATAGACAATAATCATACATTCAAAATTTTCGTGAGGGGTTATAACTCCTTAACCCTCCTGGATACGCCACTGGCACGAAGTATTAGCACGGTTCACGTCGGTTTTCCGATCTCACCGCTATGACGTTACTCTACTATTGCTCGTATAACTGTACGCACCAATACTTATAAAATTCGATTATTGTTCACGGAAAATAAAAATCGCAATACACTTACATTTTCGTAGTCCAATGGTATCGTAATGAAAAATAATTAGTTTCCCACTGAACATTTTATGCTACTTAACATTTCTCATAATGTATGTTTTGTGTTCAATATGGAACATCGCATCAATGAGTTTAATAAACATAAATATATAGCGCACTATTATGAAGTAAGTTAATTATAATTTTGTATATTTTTGATTTTATTATTTAAGTACATTAATTTTACTAATATAATATAAATATGATAGGTAGGTAGATAGGATTAAGCGTAGGTTCCTCTATCCATAGAATGCGTGTGTACGGCCAAGGTTCGTAAAAATGGTTTTTGCAATTTTTTTTTTTTTAATTGGCCGTGTAATTTAGTGTTACGTTTGCATGTTGATGGGATGTATTTTAAGAACAGTTATAAGACGTTTCATAGAAGACATCATTTCGGCACAATTTAAGTTCTCGGGATGTCTTTCATACATGTACGGAACGCGATCAGATAGCCATTTCGTTTTCGTTACCAGACAATCGTTTTATCCCGATATGTATAGTGCACTGATGAATAGATTGAATATTCTCTTACATTCTTGTGTGCGATAGGTGACCGCGGGACAGGGTGTGGACCATACGTAAATAATGCAAACGTACAAATCGTAGCTGAGCACGAAACGGGTTCTACGCAGGTCACCGCGTGCTAGGGTTGCCTAGTGGTGCCAAGCTCTAAAAAAATTACTGTTGTCAAGTTTATTTTCAGAAAGTACCACCGACCATAAATGTCACTTGGCACTGTAATAATAAATAAATAATAGGTTATAATGGTTACGTTGTAAAACTAATCTGTTGTCAAAAATATGAAGGTTATTGTTATATACCAGCGGTTCCTAAACTGTGCCCTAGGGGCACCGCGAAAACTTTCTA